TGCAGATTTACAAAATTACGACAGTCTGCTTTATTTTGGGACAGTACGTGGTCCTCGGTTTCTTTTAAAATTAAAGACATTGTTTCAAGTGAAAACAATGGGATTTTCTCCAGTGCAAATCCTTAGCAATAAATATGTCATCACTTATGCATACTGAGTAATTATATTAAGCTTATGTAGGAAGATGATATGGGACCGATGTATACCACGTAAATGCAAATGATTGGAGGTTGCGATCTCTTATGAAACTAAACAAATAATAGGCCTACATATTTGAATCCAAGCTGAATAAATCCTAATATCCTAATTGGAAAAGTGAGCTAGTGCAGAATCATGCAGTCTTTAGCTTCTGGTGGGTAGTTATAAATTATGAATTAATTCTTCACTTTAAGAAAAATTTGCGTTATTTGAAAACTGTTCGTTGCGTGAAAACGGAAGTTAATTTCCCATAGACATACCCAGCCTATAAGGAAAGGCAAACGTAGGCCTACTTACAATCCATTTATGCATGTCTAGCTGAAATACAGGAATGTGCATTTAGTATAACGAACATTCTGCTAAGTAAACCACAGGTTTTCAATGTAAAGAAAGAATTAATCAAAAATAAAACAATATAAACGAACTTCTTCACTGGTAAAATTTGTGTCTAGAGTTATGAGAAGAGATGGGATAACAGAAACATACGAAAGCTTTGGAATGTTTTTACTGTAACAAAAAGGGATATTATTGTTTCAAACGCGAGAAAAATTCGGTAAATGACGCGTTAGTGGACGAATGTCAGAAGTGTTTAGAAGAATGCCAACAACGTTGGCAAGCGTGTATAAACTCCTAGGAAGATTACTTTAAAGGCGGTCACAAAACATAATTCTTACATATATATTTATTTTATTGCTACAAATTGAATAATTCTTACGTTTACATAATATTTTTATCGCTTTAATGCTGGAACCTGTTCCCACGATTAGCTACTATTATCTCACCAAGGATGTATTAAACCAGTTCTTCCTATCACAATGTTGAAATTCCGTAGGCCAGTTGCAGGAGGAATCTTACGAATAATCTGTATTCAAAGTTCCACAGCCTCATTTATCCCGTTTAATTAACTCCTACATATCTTCAACACGCACTGTTAAGATAAGTGTAACCAGGCGATAACTGCAAGCGATATCGAACAATAAGGCAGTGGCTGTTAATTATAAGTTGGAAATGCCAGATCGGTGACTTTTAAAGCTCTGGGTTGCCACATAAATCAAGACACCTCTGACGCCGGAGGAATCCCTGCGGCAGTAGCACTGCTCACAAATTAGTCGCGGCAAATAGCCACTAAAACGTTAGGGTTGGGAACACGCTGCATTTCGTGTCTGTTATATGAACCCTCCGCTAGGATTCTCGTTACCGTGCATACACAGACTCCTGACACATTGTGGTTCGAAATTCAAACCAGGGTTCCTTGCCAGATGTAATATCTGACTGGTTGAATGAGTGCGGGTCAGCGATTGAATAGGCAGTGAGTGGATGTGTGACCCAGACAGAGAGAGATTGAGGTGAGTAATCGTGTGAGTCTGAAAGTCGAAGCATACAAGATGGCGCTGTGTTCTTCCATGTGTACCACTTCATTTTCGACGTTTACTGCACTTTTACATCATGATACTGTTTAAAATATCTTGCAGAGACAACTTCTAACAGAGTCAAAGAGCACAGTAGTATATGCTTATCTTTATGGCAGTTAAAACAAAGTAATTCGCAAACAGACGACGTAAAACGCACAATAATCCTTTATTTTTATTAATATAAATTTTGTTGGGGTCCCTTAACGGTCATGGGCTACAATGTTGGTTGTCATAAAACTATGTGGTATTTACAACGCGGAGATTAAAACAGGGACTGTAATTTTAATCGTCCCCGTGTCGGAACACCAAATTTTAAACCGACGGCGAAAAACAGTGAAGGCAGTTTGTAAGCCCTGGCACAAGCGGATTAGTCGTGTGCTAATATGCTCACGACAGTGGCTCACATGTTCAAGATACTCACAGCTCAACGAGACATGAATTCTATTCGACCAGATAAATAAAAAATTTGACACTTGCGATATTTACCGTGATAACTGACGATTACATCGCATTTCAAGTACAGTAAAGTGTTAAGGAATAACAAACGTTTTGAAGGAACCTAGGTCAACTCTGAAGAATGAGGCAGTCAGTTCTTTCGAAACGTCTCTATTATTTCCACACCTCAGTATGCTGTCAAAGGCTACTCGCAAGACAACGAAATGGACGTATATGAATCTGGACCTTCGTCACTCATTCTAAGTGAACAGAACGAATAGAGAGTAAGCCTACGTGAGAAAAATGTTTTGAGGAATGTTTACAGACCTAAAAGAAGGCATACATGAATGGAGACATACTGAGAAACTTGATAATGTGTACTCTTCGTGCAAATTAAATTCAATTCAGGAATATTATATAAAAAGTACACTAGTACATACGAGAAATGTAAATTGCACATAGAAGTTTGGCACAACATCCCAGAGACTATGAGTCAATTATGGAATTATTTTCTATTAGGTCTATTAATACTGTTATTTCTTCATTTTCTACGCATTTCGTTGACTTTGGATGTAAATATTTTCTGCTCTTTAACAAGCCGTACATCAGTTTCATGATGGCTATAATTCGGTTATGAAGTCTATTTATGGCAGGATTAATCTCATCTTTCAGTCGGGCGACAGGGAACGAATAGCTGCAAGTCAACGAAATCTGAGTAATAGTGGAAGCCAAATGTTACAAATGGAGTCCACTGTAGGCCTAATTTCGCGAGTCTGCGAGTGTTCGAACGTTTGGAACAGCGGCGTAATTCCATAGCGAAGAGGCTGCCGGTGAACGCGACTTCGCTCGCCGGCGAAGAGACGCGCCGGGACTTCGGCCTCCAGCTCAGCTACTAGTTACGCGGTGTACTTTACCATTTTAATCTTCTCGTTTATAAACGAACTGATTGCGGTCTAAGCGTCCACTAACCTGGTTTCATCCTGAACGGCAAACAAAAATTTATATTTCAATCACTAGTACCACACAGGCGCTATCACAACTGAACACAAAACAGCGCAACCTAATCCAATGTAACTTATGCCAATCAAACATAAATTAATCCATAATAACAGACACGCATAGGATAAAACCCACCCCCGCTTTAGGACTTCCACATAACCTTACAGGACTTCTCCAGAATTTCTCCATGACCAATGAAGTTCCTCATAGACTATCCAGGACTTGTCCTACGCCGCTCTAGGCAACATTTAATTGCCATAATTATTAAGTGCTGCACCTAAAGTGATGTTATGTAACGTAACATCCTCTCAATTGATGTTCGTGTGCTAAAATTTCTTTTAAATCTATCATTTATTTTGTTGTCTTTCAAACTATATATATAACCATTTTTAATTATTAAATCATGTTCCATAAGTAAATAAAGCTAAATACTTGTTCTATTAGTTTTGCATGTGGTTATATATTTTTAACCTTTGAATATTTCTTCGGTTCTGCATATTCTATATGAATCATTTCATGTTAATTCTCAAATCCTCATGTAATTCGAAACTATAGGATTCTGAAGTTGGCACAGCGTCGTTAGACAAGTGTGTGTTGTGTGTAGCATGTCTGCAGAGTGCGGGGGACAAGTGCCGGGACTTCCCAGGCGGCAAGACGACGGCCGGCGGAACGGAGGACGCCGTGCAAGACACGGGGACGGCATCGGCGAGCAAGAAGAAGTGCGCCCTGCCAGTTCACCCCAAGCTGCTCAACACGGGGGCCGCCCTCGAGATGAAGCCGCTGTGGGACGAGTTTAACGAGCTCGGCACAGAGATGATCGTCACAAAGGCTGGCAGGTCTGTTAGCAAGCATCCTCACCGCTTTGTTTGCTTCCTTATCTCCATTTCTCTTCGTTTCTTTCGCGATCTCCTTTTGCCTCTCAGGCTACCCCTCTTCATTTCTTATCAGTTAATATTTACGTATTTTTCTTTCATCCCTTCATTAATTTTTTCTGACTGTCCACATTTCTTTGTATCTACTTCCTTCTTTAATCCTTTATTTGCCCCTTATTTATTCTCCCTGTCTCTCATTCGTCTGCTTTCCAGTCTTATCTAATTGTTTCCTCCCTTATTTCCTTCGTGCTTTCATTTTATTATCTTATTCTCTCTGTATCCGTTCTCCTTCCTTTTTTTCTTACTTTCAGTCCTTCATTGTTTCATCTTTCAATGCACTGCACACTGGACAGGGAATGAGCACATCACAACATTTCCACTATCAAACGACAAGGCAGAAAATCGCGGACACACACACAAAAAAGTTGTATTTAAGCCCACAAACGCAATGCTCGCGCTCTGCACGTGACTGCGTATCACTGTTAACGGTTTTTAAAGTTATTGAGTAGGATTTCGAAATTCGTTCAATGCAATGTTGTATTCTTCAAATATATTTGTGGTCATCTACTGCATACAACGCTAATCACTAAAACTAGAGGAGTATAAAAATGTTTTTCTATAAAACAGTGACATATTGTTATTCTTCAAATACCTTAGCATTTAGGTGCGACCATCTTGGGGGAGGGGTTATTAATACGGTATTTCCTTATGCCCTGATTTGTAGAACAGAATTCGCCGCTAAAAAAACACAAATTTTCCATTTACTTTGATCAAAGAAGGCACGAAAGCTCATGCGTTGGCGTTCGATTTCACCCACGGTTACCGAGGTTGAGGCAGCAGGACCAGGCCGTCTGCTGAGTGTATGGAACGGACTGTGTTTGTATCGACTTTACAGCATCCTCCGTTTTTCTTCCAAGGATTCTTTTAATAAAAAATATAACTTTTTGCTGCTGTGGCTTGTCGAGATCTGCTTTATATAAAACGAGGTTCACTGGTTTGGGGAGAGCTTAGACAACTGCTTGGGTGGGCGGAGGAGATGAATAAGTAAAAAAGAAAAAAAATGCAGCTGAAGCGAGCGGAACATGAAACTGACAGTTGTTCCAATAAACAATTTTACTTAGTTTTAAATTCATCTGATAAATACATAAAAGATCCAAATCTCTTATTAGAAAAGCCTCGGCGCATATTTCGTAAGAAAGTGAAGAACGCTAGCTAAACTTATTTGTGTCCTTGTGTCCCTTTGTCCCTTCTTACGCACACTTCATTTCGGTCAACTGCAAACTTCCATGTGTGATATTTTCTTACACTCAGCTCCAAAATACCTCACTAACCCTCTCACTAATCGTATTGTCTGACAGTTCAATGTCAATACAAAGTCGCATCATTACACCCAATCCTGGATCATTTAAACTCAACTCACAATTGGATTACTAAAATTAATTCCATTACATTCTACTATTATTCCCTCGCATTTCGCGTGTCTTGCAAGTGATCAACAACAGAAATCCACCTGTTTTCCCATCTGAGATCCATGGCAAGTAACAGCTTTAATTTAATTAGCCCAACGTTAGCATCAGTCAGGTATTCGTATCCAGATTAAAATACATCACATTAATTTCGATAAGTGGATGATCTATAAAAATATTGAACACGACACAAAATCTGATTGATCATTTCGTAACTTATTTAAGGACAACGTTTCAATTAAAAAGACTGTAGCGTCAAATAAGATGGGAAGATGATCATGAATGATTAGTAGTTATGGATATGGAAGGAATCAGTCATGTCTTATTTGAAGAGAAACAGATTTTCCTGAAACCTGGGAGAAAGTATGAAATATAACTATTTATTTATTATTAATTTAATATATTTGGATGCTTAGAAGATACTGTATGGAAATGTAAACACCTATGCAGAGAATCAGAACTAAAACCAAGAGCACGCAAGGGTGGCACCACGCCCTCTCCGATATATGGATGAACCTGGAACAAGACGGGACGCCACAAAAACAAAACAAATATTGGAAGGGAATTAAATGAGAGCTTTAAAAAGAAAAGGCTGATGTATCTAGCACCGATGCGGTATCCAAGAAATAGGAAAATGGGTGAATATACGAAGGAATGAATAGAACAACTGTGTGTGATAAACGGCATCCGAAAGGACAGCAGGGAATAACTCCACAAAACGGAACAGCACTCCTGCAGCTCTGGAGAAAACGGGCATACAGCCGACTTTCTACTGAGAGCGCCACATGCCTGGCTTGGTAACTGCTTGATATTCTGTTCTTTCCAGACGAATGTTCCCAACTTTCCAAGCGAGACTGTATGGGCTGGACCCACAGGCTGACTACATGTTAATGATGGACTTCGTACCGGTTGATGACAAACGATACCGATATGCCTTCCACAGGTGAGTGTCAACTGTTTCATATGTCATTCAATTGCATGCACAACGAAGATTGAACTTCGAGGTCCTACTTCGGCAGAAAAGTAACTGTACCTTTGCCGCCACAGTGTCCAGACCACTTAACCTCCTACTCAATGGGTACTGAAGGCACTTTCAGCGAGAGTAAAGCGGCTGGAGCGTGAGGCTGGCCGTCAGTAATTGTCTTGTGTTTTCAGTTCGAGCTGGGTGGTGGCTGGCAAAGCGGACCCCATCTCACCCCCCAGGATACACGTACACCCCGATTCCCCCGCGACGGGTGCCCAGTGGATGAAACAGGTCGTGTCCTTCGACAAACTGAAATTAACCAACAATCAGCTGGACGACAACGGTCATGTAGGTAACCGATGTGACAGCCACGTTTCTATCCATTCCTTTAACGACGCTGTATCATTTCAGGCCCAGCAGGCTACATAAACGGTAACTATTCTAGAGCACTGACCAAGATTTTCAGCCGAGATAAAGGTTATCTAAGTAATATGTATTCTCCTCAGTTACTCCACGTTACTTCCGGGACAAAACTTTGAAACTGACTACAGTCACCTAATTTTCAATCATTTGATATGAAAATTGCTCTACTTTACATAACCTCGCAGTTCGTGCAGCATCGTTAAATAACGAACTGTTAACACCATAGCACAGGGTTTTCTTTGAACAGCGGTAACTACTAAGACGACCAGGAAACACCCTGCTGTTATTGAACCCGAATGTGTCGAGTCCCGTACTTACAAAATTCCCCTAAAAATCCTACCCTGGGCCACATTAATACATTTACTATTCTGGGGATGTTCCAACGACAGTTGAAATGTGAATTCATATTCTAAATAATGTTTCAAATCTATAACAACTGCAGAACGTAATAAGTTAAATTTTACAATTTATTTTGTTTTACGTATATTACTAAATACTTGTACCATGAGTCGTTTTAGATGCGTTCGAATCCCGTGGAGCGTCTATTGAAATAAATGTGTGTGCATTCTCATGAAATCTGACACTGGGGAGTTTTACTAAAATGTGTCGAAATATACTAACTTTGTTCAAAATCGGACAATAACAGGTACTTTACATGAAGACCTATAGTCCTATGCATTTCTGCGCTCCGAAGTGACTGAATGATAGATAAGCTTCGTGGATCGCATACCATCAGATACAGCAACAGATCGCAATTACAGGTGGTCTAATATTTCGGTGTGTTGCAGATCATCCTGAACTCAATGCACAGGTACCAACCCCGGTTCCACGTGCTGTACATCCCGCCCAAATCCGAGATGACGGACACCGCACGCACGGAAAACTTCAAGACCTTTATCTTCCCGGAAACCAGGTTCACCGCCGTCACGGCCTATCAGAACCACCGGGTAAGTGGAGTGCCGCTGGCGCTGCTCAGTTATCTGCATTTCCGTTAAGTTAGATAATTCGTCTTTCCTCTCTGTTCTTCTCTTCCTTCAATTTCAATAACCTATTTTTTTTCGTTCCGGATGGCACAAAATATTATGCATAATGTTGTCTGTAGTTGTGGGTCTTATGTATGCACGCCTTATTGTATTATAACTTGTTAATCTTTGTTACTATTTTAAGAACAGAACCCCCCCCCCCCTATTTTGTAGTCCTCGCAAAGGTACACTGATAACTGACAACATATACATCTCGCATTAATTCTCGCGGAGATATTCCGATGTTGTTACGATAATAATTTGGCCCTCTATAATTTTAACAATTAGTCAGATAAACATTACTATTTTCATTAACCAAACCGGTACCTAAAACTGGGTACGATAAAGTCAAGTGGATGAAACTCCAGATTTGATTTACTATGCATAACGCCTTAAGAACAAACGTTAGTTCGTCCTCCAAGTACAAGATCTCCTCTAACTCCTGCTTTTAATTCTTCCCCTGAGCAACTAGCGCGTTGCATACCTCTGGTAAAAAAAAATGTTCTGCTTCAACATAAGCGAACAGTATACAACTGAGATTTTACCTTTCAATCATCAGTCCACGCAACTGTTGAAAAGGCCCTCTTCGGTCCGATTTTTGGTCGTTCGTTTCCATAGCATCTGCACACGTTTTTCATTTGTTTCAGATCACACAACTCAAAATCGCGAGCAACCCTTTCGCGAAAGGATTCAGAGACTGTGATCCAGATGATTGGTAAGTTTTTAAGATTTATGTTAGTGCATGCATTACGTACAGTGCTATGGACTGAAAGACCACTGTTCGATTCCTTATACGGGCATCCCCACGTCCATACCGTCTCTGAGGCCTTTCTATTTCCAATGGTTGCTGGAAGGTCGTTCTCTTGGGATCATGTAACCGTAGTATTAAGCTAGGAATTTACGAACATAAGGACAAGTAATTAAGGAAAATGTAATGGACGAGGCATGTAGAACGTATCGAGGGTTGAGAAATGCATATGAAATTTTGATTGTAAAATCATGAGGAAAGAGATGATTTGGAAGTCAGGCTACGAGTAGATGGGAACATGGATCTTCAATAAATAGGGTGTGAGGATGTGGATTTATATAACTGACTCATGTCCAGTGGGGCACAGTTTGCAGACACAGCAATTAACCCTCTCGTTTCATATAAGATGGAGTTGTTTCTTAACCTGGTGACTAACTGTCAACATTTCAACACAGACTCTTCTCAATGGACCTGGTTATTATTCTGCCTATACATACTGATTTTAAAGAGGAAAGAAACATCTCTAATCTGAAGACCGCCACGTACTAAGTTGGTGGTCAAGTCACCACCTTGATTATGCTTAAGAAAAATAAATATAATAATTTCTTGACCTACGTACGAATATCAGAAAACAAACTCGGGTGATGAATTTCGGTTTAAAGACATGTTTTTCAGACTTCTTCTTCCAGCATATATTTTGGATTGAAGCCAACTCTGAACTAATGCTCCCGCATTTCCTTTCTCTGTCAACCTTCTCTACAGAAAAGTGTGTCTGAGAAAAGCGGAGGGGGTTCAAGAATTAATAGCCGCCAGGAATGTGAAAGCCATTCATCTCATATGAACTGTAACAAATGACGCTCGCACAGAACCGCGTGTTTCCCATATACTAGACAACGCACCGCCGCCAAATTTCCCTTTAACATTTGGTTTTCATAACAAGGCATTTATATTAGAAATACGTAGTTATTTATCTATAATTTATATTCCAGCTCATTTATGTAGGCTATTTTACATTAATTAGGAATGTTAAACTTACGTGGTAGTTAGTTTCTAAATTTATCAGATTTTAGATTGTACAATATATCATTACCAAACCAACTCATACCTGTAATCGTGTAAATAAGCATTTTCAAGGAAAATGTAACTGATATCAAGCTTAAGTTCGAGGAATGGCCATTGTAACATCCCTTATAATTCCCCTTAATGTTTCCTGATAACCATTTTCTTTCGTTTCCACACTTAGTTTATGCTGATGGATACATATATTGAATCATTAAATCTTAAGCATTTGTCTGGCAGACCTGCAAAAATAATAGTAATCTGGGAGATACACAATCGTTCCCATCCGTTGTAACCGTTAGAGGTGCCTCCAGTGTCTCTTTATGATATCCGCCCCCTTTTCAGCGATCATGACAGTAGGTGCATTTAAATTTCCGCTCACTATATATGGCATTACAGAGGCATCAATAACTCTCAGTCTCGCTACGCCATGCACCCTCAGTGCGGGATCCACCACTGCATTGCGGTCACTGTAAGGTCCCATTTTGCAAGTCCCACACAGATGAAAGTTTGAAAACAGAGTAGAAAACTCAGGATCTCTCCAAAGAGGGTTCTTCCCGGTTTTGAAGTCGTTCTCTGTTGGAAGAAACGTTGTGTTTAAAACGTAGCCCGCATTCTTCAATGCGCTTGTTTCTGCAAGTTGTTTAGCAATGTTGCAAGCGTCAATATGTATTTTAATGTCGTCAAGTTCACTGAAATAGTTCTGGTAGATGAGAGGTGAAGAGAAAGGATCTGTACTATTGATGATAATCTTCCCTCGGCTTTTGGGTCTAAGAACAGTTGGAAAAAATACCACTTTATCTATTTCATTCCCTTCCTTGGGGTTCAGATGTATAAAGAAACCCATTACATCTGGGTGGTCAATAGATTTATTGGCATATTTCGTGTTTATATATGCAATCAGTTGATTTACTCCGGTTGAAGCCCAAAGTCCCTCCTTCTTTGGCTCCGAGTACTTCAAGAAATCCATTAATATATCCGAAAGTTGAGATGTTTTGTGCTTCTCACGTGTAAAGAAAACACCAGGTGTTGAAGCATGGTCTTGAAGGTTTTCTCCTACCTTCAAATCCTTCATAACAGGAATACCTAGTGGCTGAAGAACTTCTTTCGGACCAACTCCAGAAAGCATGAGCAACTGTGGTGAATTCACAGCTCCACCACTAACGATTACTTCTTTCGTGGCAAAAATGCTACCAGCCACATGTCTGTTTCCCTCTAACACATACTCCACTCCATAAGCCGCCACCGACTGAGGATGTATCAGTATTTTAGTGACTCTGACATTCGTGACAACCTTCAGATTTGGCCTTCTCTTCAGTATAGGTTCAAGAAATGCTCTATTTGTGCTCTGGCGTATAGAATTCTTTTGTGTCGCTTGGGCAATCATAAATCCACTCTGTTGCTTACCGTTGCAGTCTACCTCTGCATATCCTATTTCTCTCAAGGCTTCAACCAGATGATTCACATCTTCATTTTGATATGGGAACCTTCCAACATTTAAGTATCCGTCAACGCCGTGGTATTCCGTGTCTCCACGAATATCAGGGTCTAAATTGTTTTCAGACTTCTTAAAATATTGTAAGACGTGTTCAAAATCCCAATCTGTGTTACCTGTAGAGAAGAATAACAAATCAGCTACCACAGTGTTGGTGACGTGCATGACTGTCACATCATCCTGTATCTCTCTTTTTGAGTTATTTAACGACGAGTTCAAACTACAGTGGTGATCTTACTCAGCGCCGAATGAGAAGACTGAGATTTATGAATTATAAAATACATGGGAGGAAGATGTGGTCGCTTACTTTAAAGACCTCTTATAGAAGTTGCGTGAAGAAACTTGGAAAAACCACAAAAAGCTTCATCTGGATAGATTACATCCTGGACAGAACAGAAACCAGAATCCCGAGAATGCAAAGAGGAGTACTAACCACTCGACCGCAATGAACAGTATAGACTATTTAGAATATAATCATTTGTCATCGTCATGAACTATGCAGAATTAGGACCAGTTTTATGTTCCCAAAATCTCTAGATTTCTTCGTCTCAGTGTCTCTTCCTGTAGGACTATTCTAATTTTATTCTTTCCTTTCTGTGTTGTAGCTAATTATTTTGGCAGTATTCAATTTCGCTCGTAACAACTCATTTTAATCAGGCCTGTATATTTTCTCCTGATGCCTCAGTGTCGTCATCTTGTGGCTGAAGATTTCGTATGTAAATGAACATGTTTAAGATAAATATTATATTTTTTCATAATCCCGACTTGAAATCTGATTCAATATGTCGAAATGCGATGTTTTTAAGTCATCAACTAAAAGCATGGCAGAAACGCGAAAACAAATTACACGTCAGAATATGTGATGACTAAATCGTAAAGTTCTCCAAACATGACTCTAGTATTTGTAACTTACGTTTGTTCTTAATCTTTTAAAATGCAATATGTATCATCTTCTATGACATTCAACAACTATGCATTTGACCTCACGTTTGTTCTTAATATTTTAAAATGCAATATGTATCACCTTCTTTGACATTCAACAACTATGCATTTGACCTATAGTGTTTTATGGGTTTCGTATAATTCTAAGAGTAAACAACCATTATTTCCCTAAACAGTATGAACCAATTAATCTTCATAGTAGAGACGAGTTATTAGTCAGGAAATAATTTTCAAATGTTACTTACATAAGCTTCGACTTCAACTAGTTAGCTTATTTTACGAGGTTCTCTATCAGATGCGTGGTTTACTCATCAATGCAGTAAAATAGTAAGATAATACTCACTAGGAAGCCAAGACATACGCGCGTAAACATTTGCCTAGGGGAAGTGAGAAAAACGACAACCTCATCGGTCAGAACAGCTGATACTCGGCTTAGATTCGAAGTAGATATCTCCCGAATGAGAATCAACACGAGACATCCTGTTGCCTCTTCCTAATGTTTCTTATCCGCCTCTATCACTGAAGCGAAATGCACGAGGTCAAAACTGATGCTGATATGGGATAGAAACAGCAGAAAGAAGGTTGGCAGAATAATACACTAATTTATATGGGCAGTTGATATTCGTACAGTGTAAGTACAAAGACGATAAATAAGAGTCTCGGTGTTCATAGGGACCATGTAGCTTACGAGTTATAAAACTTAATGAGCATCACCAATATTTAAGAATTAGTAAATCACTTCAAAGTACAGAATTTGTAAACTAACGTAATTTTGAGAGTCCATCATAATATATAAAAATCAGACTTACCCGTTCTAGCCCAGTAGTCATAATCCATTTTGTTGCCCCTGATGTAAAGCATAGCGTTGATAGAACTGGAGCCGCCAAGACCCTTCCCTCTCGTGATGGGACATGGAACTCCCCCACAAATCACACCTGGGACTCCCTCGTAGCGCCAGTCCACACGGGTACCCCAAGTGAATCCGAGGAAACCGGGCACGTCGGCTAAGAAAGGCTCCTCTCCGCCAGCCTCAAGGAGGAGGACGGACCACTGCGGTATTTCGGACAGCCTGCAGCAGGTTCAGAATCGTTCATAGCACACTGACCAGCTGGCAAGTTACATGTGCTCAAATACATAGGTGGCTTACAGGCCCATGTATCACAGATTTCAAAATAAATGCGGCCAACAGTTCAGATTACAAAGCGTCAAATAACAAAGTAATCGACAAATAGTGAATTGAAATGATACGGAAGGAAGCAGGCGCGGCCTTATCTAAGGTTGTATGAGAGCATTTACCTGGAGGCCATGAGTAAAACCACGGAAAACGTCAATACCTTTACTCCGGAACCGAGCAAGTGCGGGGTCACAGATAAAGGCCCTAACTTGGGACACAGAGTATAATAATGTACTACCTCACACCTCATGGGGCGATGACATGTTTGAACAAAGATTATCAGGGTAAATCTGAAGAACTCGGAGAGAAACCTCCTCCACCACAAATTATATTTTAAGTCACCCGGGTCTCGATAATAAGAAAAGAGCCGAGCGACTATTCTGTGTTGAACTGGAACCTATATTAACCAACAGCAGCGAAGTTATCCTGAGGTCAGCTGCGGTATGATGGGCAATGCCACTCACCTGTTGGCCAAAACACAACCCGCTGACCCCGCCCCGACAATCACGAAGTCGTACTGATCTCCGTCGTGAAGTTGGGACGGTGACTGGAGGTCTTCTGGGGTTTGTACATTGATTAACGAGGTCACTAGGGCCATTAACACCTTCAGTGAACTCACAGCTATGCAAGTAGGCTCCATTCTGATATGCCCAAAACTTAACTAAGACTGTGCGTAGTAGTTCAATGGTACGCTGCATTTATATAATTCTGCTTGTGGTTAATGACGACACTTCCGCTCCTCAACATAGTTCGTCTCAAAATTTCCGTGACATACACGTGTGTAGATAAACCATATCGCAACTTACTTATACCACAGCACAATACGGACATATGTACTGTTAAAAAAGTAAAATAATTGGAGGTAGTGGATTAACACCGTATGTACGAAACTAAATGTGCTGCTCTGCTCTCTATCGTCTGCTCTATCAGTGTTTGTGTGGGTGCTTATTCCTGTAAGTCGGAGGTGGACAATTACTGCTAATGTGGCCGAACGGGGTTATGCGAAGTGACCGCGGGTCGGAAAACCTTAACAAAAATTACTGAAGTTTCAAAAAAATTTCATTGAACTCTCGATTAGACCTGTTCTCACTGACTGAACATACTACACGGGTAGTCTATTTTAAAGTAACATAAGAGTTGTATTATTTATTAATAATTAATTCGGCAGGGTATCTTGAAGTCTGATTGGTGTTCTTAACCTAACGTGGGCTCTTCTTTGCTCTCTCACACCCAATTTTAATTACAGCTGCCTAATAAAACTGTGGCAACCCAGATCCCTCGAAATCTTGGTTCCAATTATCTTGTTTCGCGGTTTTACTCTATTTACAGGCTTGTTACGTAGGAAAAATTAAAAATGGGTAAAGAGGACATCTTAGTGATAATATCAGAACTGTTCCGAGTCCCACAGTGAGACACAACTTGATTAAGTAGACGAGAATAAGAGGAAGTTTTTTTCAGGGCACGAGTTTCCGGATTCCCGTTGCGGCGAAGGAAGTCGAAACGACGGGAAACTGTGGGGGTAAATGTGTATATTAAGTTAATTTAGGTGCGGAAATCCCGTGCACCATTCGCGCATCTAAGAAACCAGTCCCAGCCGCCCAGTCTTTACATGGCATGAGAATCATTAGTTTAATATCGAATGCCATTTTAAAATGTTGCAATAACTTCTGTTTCTGACAGTCATAAGTTAACCAACTAGCTCATATTATTAAGTGTAACTAAATCTCGCCGGCCATCCTGTTAACGTTAATTGTCGCTATGTGTATGTGAAATTACAAGAAAAAGAAATTACGTATCTACCAATAACACAATTTACTAATCAGTCAACAAAGACCATAACCTTTTAAAAATATTACTGCATTGACATTAACTTGGGTGTGATCTATTGCACAATAAAACTGACTATAAGTCCGGTAATGAAAACATCAGAAAGATGTTAACAAGAAAACATCCCCGTAGCAATCGTCGACAAAGTTATTTTAATTCCGGCAAAGAACAACGGCTAACAATAAGGGTTTATGACAGGGTCACTTGGGAATATGGAAGTGGTGGTAAGTTTTCTTTCATAGTTTGCCAGGACACGGGTGAAATTTTTTCAGCGTTCTGTCGCGCTGTTCCCAGGGTTAAAAGACGTTTCGTTATTTCAAATGTCTCCGCGGGCAACGTGTTGCGGGCCTGCATTAGACACAGATAGGGACGGACAAAAATCACGAACTGGAGAGAAATTATACAGGAACTTTAGCTATTACAGACCACATATGAAGTCGGCATCTTCAGAAGACAAGCCATGCGTATTACCAATGAACCAACCTGATAAATGACATATTAATTGCATAATGTTAATTTATTAAACTATATAAGATTTGAGGTTCTCACGCGACGGTCGGAGAAGATATCACGTGGTCTCCTAGGTTGCAACGCCGTGTAGACTTACTGCGTCTATCTATAGGGCTGAAAATAAAGGCAGTATGTTCCTACGAAAACTATTTACCTACAAGTCCACACGGCGTTACAACACAGAAGACCAACATCGACAACCTGAGAATCGTCCATTAACATTAACTATTGGCCTATTTTGCTGCTACCAAGAACCCACTATCTGGATCACGTCAGTTAATCTTTTGTCCTTTGTGTATTGTAGTGGAGTGGATGTCCTCAACCATCTGCAGTTAGGGACACATCAGAGACTGAGGAATCCATCCAGGGGCAGTAATCCTGTACCTACCTGCAGTGTCCAGTTTGGAGCAAAGGAAACCAAAGGTCAGTACACTCAGCATTGCGCATGGACAAAGATCAATATTTCAGAACAAAAATTATAAATTTTTATGGCGAGACCGTCCAGGCTACAACCAAGAAATTGGTCACCTCTGACTCACTCAGCTAGTCAAAATATTGCCCGCTTCTTTCACAACAGTCCGTCATTTGGCCCTAACCTAAGCCAGCCAGACGAATCCAGTTCACACCGTTCCACCCTACTGCGAAGTGATGAATACGTGAGGATATGGAAATAGGATAAGTGATATGTTTAAGGACGCTGTACCAGCATTCGCCTGATGAATATAAAAGACTACCACGGAAACTTTAATCACAATAGCCAGTTGACAGGTAGGAACTCAAACCTAGTACTTTGTGAATAAATACAAGTGGTGGAGACCTGAACAGGATTACACTTCAAAGTCGTTTTCAAAAATAATCAATTACACAGTTTTCAAAGAACCCGTGCTTCTAACGTTAAACTTCATCCCTTCGTCATCAGATCGTTGTTGTACAATTTTTTTCCAGAAAATTTGAATTGTTTTATATATTTATAAAGGAATTTAAACCCCTAAGTCCTCCGTAAAGACGACCCAAACACGAAGATGGTAATGCTGCTTTGTAAGTTAGTTCAAAACTCAGCAATATGAAAATAATATGCGAAAAGAAACTGAGCAAAACTACCGCAATATGTAATCAGACCTTACGTTCTGAGACAACGGAACTGACCCTGTCTGCTGTATCGCTATATTTATCAGAAAGAAATGTGCAAAACAAGAACTCAGGCCTCCATCCAGAAACTGTACCAGTGGGACACTCGGTATGGTTTCCTCTGCGGCCGATTATCCGTCTATGTGCCATGTTCTCTTTCCATTGTAAATCATGGAATTATTTGCACTTCCATTGAAACGATTTTCATTTATTCTTCTCTTCCTCATTATTCACATATTTTTCTCATTCTTGTCTTTCGTCTTCTTCTCTTCGGTTCGGATGGAAAGGTGAACAAGATGAGTGGGTAAGAATTCGTAAGACGCAGTCACAGCCTGTATTAAAGTGTCCCGGTATTCTTTTTCATAGACTGAGGAAACCCAACCTCAGAAAGGGCAGGGCCAAGCCGTTAGAACTGCCGAGATTCAAGTCGGTTACGTTCCGAATAAACCATCGATTCAGTCCTGTTATTTCACGAGGACACATTTATACACGGAAGATAATAGATGTCACGTCTTTTTTGTATGTGTGTGCGCGAACGTTTCTAAAAACAGAATTGTAGACTGCGGGGGAGAGGGGAAGGAGAATATACTTAAGCGTTCCAAACAAGAGACACAAACGCATCTGGGAGACCCGTTTATATATACATCTCCAGATGTTAAAGGCCAGTGTTCAAATCGGCGAGGAACATACCACTCTGCGATTGTTAAACATCAGTACGGCCGTCATTAGAACGCACAGCATTCCCTGCACGGCCGCCTAGATACCACTGCACATGCAGCTACTCAGTATTTCTCTCGACGGCTAATGCATAGATCCACTGCTCTCAGGAATGTTATCCTCCTCCTCACCAGCGAAGGAACCTACTTGTGGTTTCCACCTAATGGGGGTGTGGGGCCAGGAATTTATTCTGGATTGTACAAATAGGGGATTCAGAAAATTCCAATTTTGGGGGGTTAAGAAGAAAACACTGTCTCCCCTTCGAAAAAAATTGAACAGAATTCCGGGACAGGTTCTAATGACAAAGAAGGGACATCCATTCTAAAAGCATATTTAAAAATATTATCTAACTAGGTCCTTCTAAAAGAGCTAACAATCGCTCAGCTGATCAAAACATTATCCGCATTTTATTGAACCCGAAGGTCCATTACCGTATTCACAACAGTGCCCGCTACTAGAAGCTGTCTTCAGCCAGATGAATCCATTCCACTCTCTCACACGCTATTTCCTTTACGTTAAGTTTACTGCTGTCCTCCCATCTATGCCTAGGTATCTTCATACGCTATTTCCTTTACGTTCCTCCCATCTATGCCTAGGTATCTTCACTTCAGGTGTTCCGACTAAAATTTGTATGCCTTCCTCATCGCTCCCATACGTTCTACACATTCCACCTATCCCATATGCTTTGTCTGACCACCCCAATAGGCTTATTTAGTGAACAGTGCAACAAGTTATTATCCTACGCACTATGCAGTTTTCTTTATCCTGCTGTTTCTTCCTCTCGCTCAGGTCCGAACATTCTCTTCAGCGTCCTGTTACGAAATACCATCATTCACGTCCTTTTCTTCCGCTGAGAGACAGTCTCGCACTAAAACCTCGAAGAGCTGAATTAAGTGACGAATGGTTTGCACTGCACAGGGTCTATTGACGAACTTGAATCTTTCACGGCGACCGAATGCACAACGGGCGATGTGCAGTGTGAGCATGGAATTCGTGACACAGAACAGATAGAACGATTTAAATTGTGTCATTTAGAAATGTGTGTGTCTGACCACCAGGGTATGAGAATGTGAATCGAATTTAACTCGCTCAGGATTCATCAAAATGGCGAGCCGTCATATTAGCGGATTCTATTAGCACAGATTTAAATCTGTTGGTCGAAGCCTTTGTCATAGCCCAGAGGACCGACATCGTCATCTTCACCGCCGCGATAACCTCCGGTCTCATACCAGACCTCTTACAACGCAATCATCCTATCTTCTGTGCCGAAAAAAATAATTTTAAACCACATTAAATTCTAATCAGTACATGCGATTAAGTGGCAATTGTCTGGCTAGACTGTGTAGAATGACGAAAATCCCTGGTCGGACATCGAAAAGGGTACTTCCAAATTCAAATCTAGATGGTCACCGTTACACTCACAAGGCTCCATCAAACAGCCAGTCAATCAATTAGCTGAAGTCGAACCTAGACGGATTAAGATGCTGCCTCCATTTTACAAGTTTTGTCAGTGTATTTATTTTCTCTGGAAGGGAAAAGAGGGAGCAGTGTCACACCTGGAGATTCTCAGCACGTACAAACTGCGTGTTCATAACGCGTCCCACCATAACTCTTATTACCAGCCAATAGCAGGACTGTCCCAGTGTTGGTTGCAGCCAATGAAACGCTGCATGCATCCCTTCTCTTGCTCAGGTAAACAGCGCACATTGCAAGGTTAAAGTGGAATAAGCAACGGCGCTGACCAAATAAAACAGAAGAGTTTGAGTAAACCAAAGTCCATTCCTGCATAACAGATGCTTTCGGTCTAGTTTTCAAAGAAACACACATTTTGGCCTCAGATTTGAAGTTATCAGCTGAGACCCTGATTTCATGCGCTCCTTGTACTAGCGGACGTTTAGCAAACCCCCCCTTTTTTTCCATTTGGGTGCAGACGACTGGATAATAGCAATTAGATCACAGCTAAAAAGCGTGTGAGGGCGTGAATTAAAATCAGTTTTTCTGAGAAACAGCCTTTGATGTAAACGGTAATATGAGCTTCAGAATCCATTAAAAAGAGGTAATTGCTGACTGGCTGAGCAACCATCAGCTTTTCAAGAAGAACCCCGCACCATCAAGTCGTAACAATGAGCCAGTGAGTCTCGAGCCCAAAATGGCCGGCTTGTTAGCGACACGCAGGCAGGCACAAGGAAGGAGAGCCGCATTCCTGTGTGAAGGACGGGTTGCCCACACCGCGACGTGGTTCTCATATTATCTGCCCGCCATTACAAGACGTGCGACATTTAGCCAACCAGCCAGAACGATGATACAGGAGAGACAGCCTGTAAAGCGATTCCTGGTACCAGACCAAACCGATCATCGTTGTACTGCAGAACAGCAGCAAGCAGAACAAAACTACACTTCATTACAGCAACGAACAGTCTGTTGATTGACTGATTCCTCCAACAAACCTGCTTCTGGGAACGGACCATATGCCAACCAAATACGGCAACACCATTCAGTTTATTAGCCAGAGACTTCAGCGCCCTCACACCGCAAAAAGTTTTATTGAGGATAGCCGGTCTCCGGGCCGAGATTTCAACACGGAACCTCCCGAATACGAAGCAAGGGCGATGTTCGGTTTCTCAACAGGGATTCACCTCCATTGTGTCAGTTAGCAGATAATAAGGCTTAGTCGTAAAATAATTCGTGAATAATAACAATAATATAACTGCTGAAGATTTCCGTCTTCTGGGTTGAAGTCTTACAATATAACTGCTGTTGGGGGAATATGCTCTGGCAAGTTGGTATTCTGCAGCAGAAGCAGGTCGCTGCGTCCTAATGAGTGACGGGCAGGACGCCTTCGCTTCAAGTGTGAGGGTAATTTATTACTCAATGTGCCTTGAGACTTTGACAGGGAGAAAGAAGGATGATGTAGAACAAAGTAAATGGTGGGTGGAAAAACGTAACAAAACTAAAGTGTCAGAAGATAGATCCACTGGCAGACGACGACGTGCTGGCCAGCTCAGTGGCTAGCGATTCTAACAATTAAAACCTCTCCTCTGTCGTTTCCTTCCTAATTCACGTCCCAATCAATACCACATGTCCAGTTATTGCGGTGGCATTTAATCTATCGAGCTGTATTCTCAATCCAGAGATTTTAACTTCGGATCTGAATCACGTTTCAACTCTTCATGATGTCCACCTAGTTCACAGATCTTGAGATACTGACAGTCGCGCAGCTAGTCAAGACATTCCCCGCCGTTTATGGACCTCGAAGGTTCATTACTATGACCAAAACAACACACCACAGGATCATATCCTGTGCCAAATTAATCCAGCCCTACCCTCATATTCTAGTGTTTTATGATCAATTTAAACATTATCATCCCAAATAGGTCGCACAAAAATTTTATATTTGTTTGGGGGCCCGATTTTTTCTCTTACTAACTTCTAAGCACTAGTCTATATTCAGATCAGACGCCGACGTGACATAAAAGTTGTGATTGCTCCGCTTGTCAGGCCGCGTCGAGTTGCCACCCCTCAATTATTATTAATCGCCCGTTAACATATGGACACATCGTTACCCCGTTACCACAACCCCTCTCAACTGTCTGTTTCGCGGCTGCACGAACGTATCTGTCTTTTTCTCTCTGTCACCCTTCATCTTGCAGCTAAGACTGCACTTCCTTCTGTCGCTTATTTGAGTTTAGAAAATAAAATCAACGTAAGAAGCAGCTTTAAAACGAACATCAAACAATGGACGCCACTCATGTATAGTAAAATACAGACCACAAGTTCGTTAAAACACTGTCAATATGCAATCACATCCTGAAACAGATTTCTCTAAACATATCCTGAACCTGTGGCAGTGCACATTATCTTGTGTGATGTGTTCTTTTAACGAAGTGCATGAAATATTTATCTCCACAGAATGGAAATTTCGTATTGGCTATCTCTACTAAAAGTTGCCGAACGAATTTAATTTTGGTCAAGACCAGTTAAATACACTCTACAGAAATAGATTCGAACGTTCACAGATTTTGGCTAATTAAAACCCATTCAATAGTTTCGGAGGTGAAACACGACCTCCAACATTATGTGCTACAGTAAACATAATTCTTATTTATTTTTTAAGAACCTTTCTGTCGCCCCATCATAACATCAGATGCCACACAACTATAACATGATATGTTATGTTGAAAAAGTGTCGTTGAATAACCCAAGAACCAATTAACATCCAGCAAGTGCAGAGATAGCAATTTTAAACAGGGCACAACAGCAACATTCCAGATCCCTTCCAATCCATGATTTATAACCACTCATTTGAATAACATATGCAGTTTAGAAGCGTCTTTAAATACGTGATTATAAAAGAGAAAACTCAACCACATATAAAATCCAGAAGCAAGATTCGAATCCACGATCCCAAGGCCATGAGGTCAATGTGATCGCATGAACTGTTTTCTCGGAACTTAATGTGAAGCTTAGCCTCATCAAGACAGGGAACTGGGTTCAGCTGACGGCGAGAATGAGGTGATTAGTCTGTCATTAATGAAGTTTGTCCTGGCAGAGAACGACGGAGAGACGTCGGTGGCTCCCCCACCCCGGACGTCTCCGCACACACCCAACACGAGCGCCGCTCCTCCGATGTTAAGTGCCACTCCGTATCCTGCGGAGCTGTGCACTTATGGCCCCGTCTACCACCACCACCACCTGCACCAGGCGGCCTACACTTCCATCAGGTAAACGACCTCACAGCTTTCGGGTGTCAGAGTCCACAACATTCCTCTCACGAACGGGTAAAATTCGCGCTTGTACCGACATCCTGTCAATAATTATACAGTATACTATAAACTCTACCATCAGAACGTGGCCTTGCGACGGTAAAAACAGTCTTAAAAAATGTCGAATCTTTGCCAGAAAAATTCTCTAGAAAGGCAAGGGCTCAAAGTGGGCTGCCTCCCCCCTCCCCCTCCCACCACACTCCGCGCACACACAACTTCAAGGTAAAACTCATTATGGCTACATTCACCTGGAGAAACTGAGGAAAAAATTAGAACTGGATACTTTCCGAATACAATCCTAGAACGACACGGCTTTGAAACTTTCTTCACATTGTAGGAGCAGTAAACTATAACGTGAAGCTATAAGGAAATCTTCTGTTTTTGCGGGATAAGACTTGTTCTTCTGCATCTCAGAATCAGCCGAAAATGAGCAACGACATTTCACTTATCTCTCTATAAAGCACAGTAGTAACTCAATAGGTCTATGCTTACCACCTACTTTAACGTTTAGTAACTCTGATGTTGCCCACTGCAAGTCTCTATGGGTTTCCTATGGCTCTCTGAATAAATAGCGATTACTCGGGTTTTCCTTAACAGAATTTAGCGACTGATCTTTGTATTGGAGAACTGGGTGCTTCGAACTCTTAACGTTACTTGCTTGCGCAGTGCTGGCGGAGTGCCTAGTGGTCCCAGTGCATACGGCAGTCCTGTGAAGTCCCCGGCGTCCACAGCGGCAGCAGTGTTGAGAGCAGGCACCATGGTTTCTGCGGCAACTCCGGGCCCCTATGGGGGTCGAGGGGCCACTGTTAGTCCCTCAACAGCAGTGGGGCTCTACCATGCTACGGGATACCATCACCAGGGATTTTATTCTCCTCCGACGGGAAACAACGGCACCAACGTTACAACACACCATAGACCCAGTGCTTATCACGAGTACACCCCGAGATAGTGCTATGACGGTGAGACAAGAAAATAGTTTGTTCTGTGGACGAGAAAGATGAAGGAGCCATGTGTTTGGTGCGTGCACTTCCTTCGACATTTGTGTATTTGTGGAATATGAATCACAAGTGCATTGATGATATTCCATCGAATTTTTGTTCGTTCGTATAAAAGTGAAACTGTTTCGGATACGCTAGGATTTAGACATTGAACATATTCAACTGATGTAAAGCCAAAGAATGATGGTCAAAGAAGGTAAATATATAAGGAAAATATAGTCAAACTATTACTATGACATTTGGTTCAGTTACACAGAAATGAAAGTATTCTCTTTTAGAGAAGGTACAGACAAATAATTATGGAAAAGCTACGATGGCAAGGTTTTCCTTTTGCTTACAAAGGAATTAATTTGTTATGAGTTATGTTTGATAGACCACTTGAACCGCAACCAAACATTAAAGTGCCGTAAGTGGAAAATTTTAAGGCAGATTTAATCAATGAATTACGGAGTAAGATAGCAGTAGATACACTCTTCCTCGCCACAGAATTTTTGTACATTTTAACTGCATAGAAACCACAGAATAGCAGGCTAAAATAAAAACTTGTAAGTCGAATATAATCAATATTACGGCAGTGTGGCTTTTCTTTCCGTTATACGGATACATTATTCAGAATTTATTATCAACTCAATTAATTCCAAACGACAATGGCCCCAAAAGTACATTTATAAGTCGGATATAATAAAACCAGGAATACTCGTATTAGGGCAGTAGGCTTTCCTATCCGAAATGTAAGTTACACGGAGTTTCCCAGGCCACACACTTCTGTATTATTCAACTGAATTAAAAGCAAATAAGAGACTGCAGAGAGGGGCACATTTAAGGAAAATGTAATCAAACCACTGTGAAAACACCGCTGCACATTTATTTGAATTTCACATTATTCAAACGAGTTCAAGCCCAGTAATTAATAGTGGCTCGAGAACAAACATATAAATTATCAAATCAATACGAAATTATCTGAGTACAGTTTTCGGTCCAATTGTACAGAAATAAAAAAGCAGTCTGTTGTGAATTCGCTAGGTCATAAACGTTAATTGTCTAATATTCATCTGAACTGAAGACAGAGCTTGTCAAAAGAAGTTAACTTTCGCTTTTACTGATCCAGTAGAACGCCTAACTTGACAAGAAGTTCAAATCGAACTTTATTTCTCATCTTATATGTAACTACTTTTCGTTATTTTCATCTCTCACTTGTACCGATGTTCGTGTACTGCAAAAGTTGCACAGAAATCAGGAAATTCAACGCCATTTATAGAACCCGAAGGTTCATTGCCGTCTTAACAACAGCCCGCCACTGGTCATCCTGGGTCAGTGGAATCCTGTTTACACCTCACATCCTATTCGTTTAAAATACATTTTAAAGTCTGCTAATGATGATAGTCACTTTTATTTTAATTACTCATTCACACTGGATAGTAAATAGGCTACAATTGTGTAAAATTCGGAAGTTATGTGATTAATAAACTCCAAATGAGACTTCCCATAAGTAATGTGATAGAGAAGTATTTTATATGGTCAAATATTTTACTTGTGAAAATAATGTAATTATACACAAATGGAATTATATCTTTTCACTAATTTATAAACTGAATCCTTAATGTAAATCGACTATAGGCCTATACATTTGATTCCACGAAATCTTAACACGTGATAAGATTAATTTCATTAGAATCCTGATGCCCTAAGAATGTATAACTTTATGATATCCACTGTCAATCATGTATTGATTCAAACAGTTAATAATGTATCATAGGACTAATATTTTTGTGTCACCAACTTATCATGACCACTTTTATACTATTCTCGTGGATCAATGAGACCTACCAGTCAATTCAACACTCATTATTATAAAATATACCAAAGCTTAGAACTATCAACAACCATAACATTCCTCTATGTTTACGCGGCCACTCCAATCTCCCTTCCTGGGGTACATAACTGTACTGTCTGTTTCACTTATCCAGAAGATTTACCCTAAGATGCAACTGCAGTGTTTGCCGAAACGTTAGCTGAAACAGATTTTAACAAACGACACTGCTCAAATATGAAGGCTGATCTTACACATCACGACACGTGGCCCACATATGCGCAGTTACCGAGCACGAATGCTTTAATTATGTTGTAGCACTACGTTCGCCGAGAAGAACTTTTTTTTTGTAATACTGCATCATGTTTTGTTGGTGCTTTCCCCCCTAATTCTGGCAGTACCAATAACAGGAAATGTGATTAATACTAAATACTGATGTACCTATATTCTAAGTAAAACACACGCCAGATTACAATAACTATTTTGTCAGTTTGGTCAACATGATGGTATGCAACAACAATACTAATGAGCTGGGACAACTCAGTAAAATAATACGCCACGAAACAGGGTTAAATTCCCGGGAAGGGCAAGATTCTTCTTTCAGCCTCCACTCCAAACTGACTCTGAGGCCCACCTAGCCTTCCATCAGGAGTAAAGCGGCGAAACAGACCACTCATGGGTGAATTAACACCACTCCCCACATACGTCTCCATGCTGTGTTGTTTAGGCGCAGTGAATTTATTGTTATTACAGGAACAGTTGCATTTTAGAGTGGACGCAGTGAGTGGTACAACTCCCTAACGCATTCTAAACGTGGTCCTCCCATTACATATGTCACTTTTGCACTATCCCAGGTTCGGTTTATCGTCACTCAACGCTTCTTCGAAGTTCCGAAGTAACAATCACTGTCTAACAAGAGTTCGCTTTTGTGCGAACCAAATAGCCTATGTCGGTCGCCATGGTGACTGGTGTGGAGAGAAGCGAAGTTTACAACACTTGAGTTTATTGTCTACAACAATACGATCAGTAACGACAGATGAAACAAAACACAAGCACTGTCAAGGTTCTGCTGTTTGGAGAAGGCAATGCACGTGTGACATCGATTTTGCAGCTTCCTGCAATCACGCAGAACTGTGGTAAAATTAACGCGGACTTCTCAGATGGATGTGGGGAAGGAAATAAGAAAAGAGGAAGAAGAAAAGGGACTGACAGGATGAAAGGAATAAAAATATAATAAGCAGTGTGTCCGAAATAACTCTAAAAGCCAAGTTCTTCAAGAGAACCATATTCATTTTATGCTTAATAACGTAATTACGACGCTGAAATTCCTCCAAGTGCGTATGTGTCATTAGAGCGAATTTCTTCAACAAAATGTCTCAGTACCGGAACGTCCAAACTTCCAATACCCAGATCTTAGTGAAATAACAATGAGATTTTCCACTTTTACCATTGTTACAGGCTTACATTTAAGCCTAAACAAGAGACACAAATCTGTAAATGTCTTTCTAACCTGGTAATTAATTGCTCCTTCCTGACGCTACAGTCCAACTGCAGCCTTTGTCTCCTCCTATCCCCAGATCATAGAGGCAGGCCATAGCAAGACCTGTACCTTCACAGGACAACATAAAAGTAAACAAAGAATGCCTCCCGAAAAAGTCGAATCGCGATCCTAGGGCGCGAAGTGAGACCGTGACGGCCACCTGGATAGGCTTAAACTCCAGCTGGTCGATAGATAAGATGCCTATTCATTTACCTTCAATACATAAGCCTACTGTTGGACTGTATCAAATTTCGTACGAATAACTACAATGATTCGTCATCAAAGAGGCCATTACATTCACCTGTAGCCCCACTTAATTGTCTTTCAGCAGCGCGCTGTTGGAAAGTCATGGTTCCTGTGACGTTAAATCTAACTATAACAATTATCCCGACATGAAGTTCAAAAATGTAGAGATTAAGTACTGAAACTGCGACAACAATATCTTAGGACACGTCACATTATTTAACAATTTAATTATTTATTCTGTTTCTAGCGTCTCATGTGAGGCCACTACAATAATTCAAGCAGAAATCTAAACCAACTATTTTAAGAAAATATTACCCACCAAAACATTTAACTTAACTTTAATCTGGGCATAATAAATATGTTTTATAGAGAAAAAAGTTTTTATGCTGGTACTGTGTTATAACGAATGGGTCCAAAGCTATTTTTTGGGACCAACGTTATACAAATTAAAAAGTCTAAATAAATATATGCCGTTAACTGTCTAGAGGCGGTGTAGGAGCTTTGACATTTATATCCCAGGAGCGCTCTCTAATCGAGAAAGACTGTAAATTTCAGAAAATATGTCACTTGGCAACGTGTTTTATAAAACTAATCCATATATCAGAATGGGAAGGGGTGTACAGGTGGTACAGTCAGAGTCAAGTGCTGTCGACACATCCAAGACCATGATCTATTGCAGGAAGAAGCAACTTGTTTAGGCTAGGCTAGCATTCAGCGCACTCCCTAACATTAGACCTACACTGAAACAGGCTTGTGACAATTTCTGTTGGGTTTGAACCTACACTACGTGGCTCAATAATAACAATTCAATCAAAACGTTCAGTCAACCAAGGCCAATTACAGGCATGCACTAATAATAATAACAATACTACTTAAGCAAAGATGGATTTCTGGTTCGAATACCAACTATTGTTCAAGCCTTTTATGTTACGTTTCTCGTGGAGCATTGGGCGAATGAACGAACCGCCCTCGGATATGGAGAGTAGAAGTCATTACATGTATACACAATAAGCATTACGTCCAATATCTTAAAATACGTCACGATCGCGTCCTCTCAGATCCTTACCAGTCAAAATCATTATACTTTTGCACCCAATATAACTTGTACAACTGAGAAAACTTCGATGAATAAATTAAGAACGAGGGAAACATCCACAGTGGCACTCAAATGTTTGCCGCATTCTTTTGGCAATTACGAACTTTATGTAACAAAAATAGATTTTACCGTGAGTTACTTAAAGAGCACTTAATTTTAAAGCTACTTTTCCACTGTGGCTTGAACTCGACTATCTGTTCGTGTTGTGAGGTTTACAGCGTGTGACGTGTTTTGTCATATGTTTGTTATATTCGGTCGTGTGACAGGGCAAGAGTGACGTAGGCCACACTACTCATCAATGTGTCGACCCCATAAGAAAAGCAAGTCACTTTAAAGACGGTTGATTAGCTTGCATATTACTTGACACTCAAAAAATATCAGGTGCGATACGTCAGACCTGGGTTAAGATTCTTTTCACTATGATTAAATTTATGTACTGAAACTGTCGTTCACTTGCACTGGGGTCCGTATATCTTCTCGGGACTGTAACATTAATTCCTCTATATCTGACTCACAAGTATTTCAGCATTTCAATGGATAGTGGCAAGCTCTTGGTAATAATTCATGTTATTGCTAGAAGCTCTACATGAGGGAGATTTTCAAGGGCTATGGCCCATCCTTATGTAAACGAACCACTTGAAGAAACTAACTGGGTGGTCAGGACTCAATTCAACATGAATAATTACAAATAAGCACTACAAGAATATAATGAATACGCCTGCACACCCTTCTGACAACAAACAGGCTACAGTCACAGGGGATGCTCTTCTACTTTGATAATGAATGATGTCGGCTGTGTCCTAGAAATGATACGGAAAGGCGCGTCAGCGTGCAACAGCGACATTCTACGGGACATAAGACTGTTACGGTGTTGTGCATTCTTTGCAGAAATGTAAAAAAATGGCGTTGTCATGTCTGAAACTAACCTAAACTACATTTACGCCGAGAATGTCAATTGCTGGGTCAGAGGTGACGACCCTAACTCAGGATCGAGGGTATGTTGTGCCGCTCTGTCAGGGCTATCGTGCACCTCGCGGGGTGGTAATAGATATATGTGGAGCAACGGCGGAATGATGAGAGAAACCTGCTTCAGTGCCACCACGAATCTTCCTTGAAGTCATTCAGAATTGAACCCGGGTCTCCGCGGTGAGAAGTCAACATCTAGCATAACCTTTAGCATTGAATTGCAGAAATACACATTAAAAAAATCTGAAGGGGAGAAACTATCTGGGAGACCTCTGCGTTGATGGGAGAATAATATTAAAAATTTCCAACCACAATGTCATATCGTCTACTCTGTTATTTCCCCATGTTGACAACATGTCGCATTTCTTGTTCTGAGAACAATTAGATGGGTGAGTACAGAATAAGAACCTTCATGCTCCTGTTTCTAGTTGTTTCTTGAGATCTATGTGTGTTCGTCAACAACAACTTCCCTTAATCCATTCTCCACCCTCAGTAACAAAAACTAATTTTTACTGTGAAACAAGGGTGGCTGAAACATATTTCAGGTGGTCTGCGTGTTAGACAGAAAGGGTGACGGGTCACTCCGTCTCGGAGATAACACAAGTGGTCGTTTACAAGGAAAACCTCGTGTAAGACAAACCAGACGCCTCAACTCAAATCGTGAAAGTGTAATAAGTACAGCATGTAATGGTAGAGGGATTATCGAAAATAATGTGGCACGTTTGATTCATTAGACCGAAAGTATGTTGAAAGTTATGTATATTTAGCATACCTGACTTTTGGAAGATGGCTCTATTTCCAGCATACTGTAACTATCTTTAATGACAAATACTGTTTGAATTCGGCTATGTAGATAATTCCGGACGACTGTTTCAAGCAGAAATTGCACAAAGAAATGAAAAAGTGGCTGGCACACCTGAAATGCAG